TCAGTTTCCCTACCTGTGACAACAAATTCAGACAACAGGAACAGGACTGGGAACGGGAAGTGAGGTGAGTGGAGAATGACTCCAGGGCTTTTGGCCTAGCCAGTTATAGGACGGGATTCCCATTTGTTGAGATGGGAACTAGGAGGAAGGAGCAGCCCGGGATGAAGATGCAGGAGCTGCATCGTCAGGTGTGTTAAATGTGAGCTGCCTGCTGGAGGACGCGGTGGCATGTGGCGGCAGGTAGAGCGGGAAAGGAGCCCAGGCTGGGGGTAGGGGAGGTGAGCTGACTCAGGAGAGGTGGGATCCTGAAAGCCCAGAGAAAAGGCACTTCAAGGGGGAGCCACCATGTCGAAGGCTACAGATACCTGCAGGCCGAGTGAAGTGACAGCAGAGATCTGACCTTGGAGTCTGGAGACTTCCAGGTGCCAGGTGACCCTGAGGGGCGCTGTTTCGTCAGTGAGTGCTAGAGGTAAAAGCACGAGTGGGGGGAGCTCAAGAAGGCCTGGAAGGAGGGGAGACGGAACAGTGGGCTTTTGCATTTTAAGATGGAAGATACATCAGCATGTTTGTCCGAGGATAGACCTGGTCGAAGAAAGAGGGAAAAGAGAAGATGCAGGAGGTAAGGAGGGAACTGCTGGAGAGATGTCTCTGGGTGGGTGAGAGGGTAGGAAGCTGTGGTTGTCCTTGGCCCGAAGGAGGGCCACTCTTCTCTTAAGGCAAGTGTCAACAGTGAGGACAGGAGGTGCTCTGGGGGCAGGCTGACAGCCGGGGGAGAGCTAGATTGAGCAGGGATAGGATCTGCCAGGTCGGTATGAGGGACAGAGAGGGGCCGGGGTTGAGGGGAATGATTCTCTAAGATGGGTAAGGAGGAGGGAAGGACGTGGGAGGGTGCAAAAACTGCAGGTGCTAGAGTGGGGAGGAGGAGTCAAAGAAAATAGAGCTCAGAGGGCAAGGTGCCTGGCAGGGCCCTTTTTTCCTATGGTGTCAAAGTTTCTAGAAGTTCTGTATTTCTAGTACTCCTCTTCATACCTAAGGATCCTAAACACTTTTTCAGTAAAGAATTAACAGATTCTTCTCCAAAGATCCCTTTAGAGAGAAATGTTTTGCTGTGGCATCTTCAAAGGGAGTACCTCATTTATCCAGGGCTAGGGATACAACTGGACAAAGGCACACCAGCCTCTGTCCTGATTTCAGATCACCTGTCCACATGTCAGACTAGTTGCTATTCCACACTGATACATGTAGGTCTTTAGCAGCTTTGGCTCTAGTTCAACAGTTTATATTTCAGTTCTGCATGAGTACTTTGTAATGATCTCAGTATCACTATTTACTAGGAAAGAGATAGGACTTCCTTTAAGGATTCAGAATCATGGAATCCTGGGAAAGGGATCCTGGGAAAGGGACTCTGGTGATGAACTGATACAGCCACCTCAAGAAAGAACAAACTAAGACTCAGAGAAAGATTTTCCAAAAGTTACCTGGGAAGTTTGCTGAGTTGTGGTTGAAACTTCTGCTTCCTTACCAGGTACTTTTTTTTTTTTTTTAATTGCATCAGCTTCTACGTCTTAAAAGAATTCTGCAGTCTTAACTGTGATTAATTTTCTGTGATTATCTTGGGGCCTCTCCATTTTTCCATTAAGGCACACTCCAATTTCAAAAGGGAAGTCAATGAGGAGAATAAAAGCTGAAAGCAACGGTTTGCAAACTTTGATCATACCGTCATTATACCATATAACATCTTAAAACCCTTTTGCTCTACCGACGTCATTACTCACTTAAGTTTTTGCTTTTTAACAAATGCTTAAATGTATATTTTTTTAAAAAGGGAAGTAATATAGCCTCGTAGGACCTGAAAGCCTGTAATCAATGGTCAGAACCAGGTTCTTTCCGTAACCTACATGGTTAATCAAGTTTGATCCTGTTGCCTGCTAAAGCTGAGTCTGAAGTTTGTTCTCTTATTTCAAAAGGGGAGATCAGCAAGTGCTAAGGGAGTTAGCACCCCAAACTGGAACTGTAATTAGGAGGGCCCAAAGTGAAAGAGAGTAGCAGGTTAGCCTGTTACTACCTGGTCAGCTCTCACCAGCAATACCACCAATGGTGTGGGGCCTTCGGGACAGTACATAAAGTCCTTTCCTGTCCGTCTTACGAACAACTGAACTTAGCCTGGGAGTGGAGACCTAGCAGTGGTCCAAACAGCATTTGGAGCCCTAGGATCTCCCACCTTACTAACTTAACCCAATACCCATGGAGTCAGGAAAAGAGGGAAAGAAAGCTCTTCCTCTGCAGGCAAGCAATTGCTATAAACTGCTACTTTGTTTAATCTTGCCAACCACTCTACAAGGCTGGACTTGTAAATTTTAACTATGAGTAAACTGAGGTTCAGAACAATTCAGACTAGTGTCAGGTGACCTTTGCCAAGGTCCTAGGGACCCCAGGGCTAAATGGCCATCAAGCCCACGTTGGACTTTCTCCACGTCCTGTTCCCAAAGGCGGGAGTGATAGAGAAGCAAGATAAGGCCATCGTCTTCCTTTTCACCTGCCGAGAAATTACTGCCCCTGGATTCCAGCTAATTAGTTCACAAAAGG